GTACTTAGGACTGTCTTGGGAGGCAGAACTGTGACTCCAGGCCTAAGGCACTTCGAAGCCACCTTAAACACGTCTGTAACTGAATTTCAAAGCCATAGCTTTTCATCTTTCAGCAGCTGTTCTTCCTGGTCTTGGCTAGAGATGCAGCAGTGTTTGCGAGTGGCGTGGCCAGGACAGCACTAGCTGACTGATTGATGCTGACCTATAGCATTGTGACCTCCCCAGTATGACATGGAAGGCTTGCTACATCCTTACTGTGTTTAAATTTATCTCTGGAGTGCTGCAGGGCTGAATCTCAGACTCCTTTCTGTCTTTGTCCTGTCTAGATGGTCTCATTTAGTCTCCTGCCTTTAGATACTACCTATACGCTGATCACCTCCAGGTATCCACAGCCCGGACGTCCCCCATGGACTCCAGGTTCACGCAGCCAACTATCTTACCTGATGACTTCTGTGCTTGGAATCCTAACGGGCGTCTCACACCCAACAGGGGACTCCCCAGTGGAGGTCTTGCTTTGTCCTCCCAACCCTTACCTCCCCCAGTCTCCTCAGCTCAGTAAGTAACTACACCATTTAATTAGCGACTTACCAAAAAACTCAACCGTCGGCTTCGATTTCTCCCTTTTCCGCGCACCCACCATGTAGTCCATCACCAGAGCCATTTATTTTACCACCAAAAAGCTCTCAAGTCAATCACTTCTCTCCGTCTCCACCCCCCGGCCCACACCCAAGTCTAGGCCATCGCCTTCTCTTACCTAGATAACCACAGATCTCCTGACTTCCTGCTCTGCCGGTCCCTCTTCAGACCACGTCCATCCTTGCAGATAGCAGGAGCCTCTGTCCCACCTCTGCTTGGACCCTTTGACGGCTTCCCACTGCTCGTAGAACAAAGACCGTGTTTGTGTTCTCCATTGTGACCAGGAATGACCTCATCATTGCCTACCCTTCCAAATTCACCTTACACCCCTCTCTCCTCTCACTGGCTGCTCTTCTGATCCTTAAAAACACCAAGCCTTCCTCCAGCTCTAATTCAGCTGGTTCCTTCTTGTTCTTTGACCCTCGGCTCAAATGTCATCTCTTTGAAGGGGTTTCCTTGTCTGGGTCATCTGAATAAGCTCCTCCAAGGAGTCCCCAGCTCATTAATTTCATCTCTTC